TTTTTTTTTTTTTTTTTAATTTCTCTCTAGCATCTCTTCTTTTTGGCAGGTTGCTTGAAATTTTGAAAGTAGAGCTGAACTAGCGAGTTCTGTGGAACTTCTCTTTTCAATTCAGACTCAGACAGACTCAGAGTGAAATTCAAGTTCATCTAAAGTTTCCTTGACATATTTGGGATTTCGTCTAAAAAGACGAAAATCTTATTTAAATAAATCCTCCTTGAGTTTTTTCCCTTTTAAATGAAACGTATCAAACACATGAAAACCTGTTACACTTGATCCTACAGAAAAAAAAAAAAAAAAAAAAGGAAGAAAAGTTATTACCTGAAGAAGTTGCTGCTGTGCTCGAAGCTGCTGTTGCAACAGCAACAACTTCTGTATATTTTCCTGAGTCTTTTGCAACTGCAACAACTGCTCTTGGTACTGTTGCTGAAGGGCCGGTGGCAAAGAGAGTTGCGGAAGTTGAGGCAGCTGCGCGTTTCCGGTTGCCAGGAGCCCCGCAGCCGGACTACTTTGCTCGACTTGAGCTTGCGTGGCCCTCGGATTCGCCAACGGTATCCACTCGCTGTTCGATACCTGTCGCGACCATCTCTCAGCCTCTATCGCGTCGAATTTCACTGACAGCACCAAACAGATTGCCACTGTTAATGTCAGACACCTCGCAACCTGCAAAATCACCGTGCGAATATAGGGATTTGACAACAGAGATATGCTTCGCGTGTTCTACTAAAATCCTTCGAATTTACGAAATTTACAAGGAGTTCGAAAGTGCATAGAATTGTGAAGAAAATGTTGAATAGAGCTTTATATAACGATTAGAGATAATTAGAGAAGTAATTAATAGAGTTTTATATAATAATTATCTACGGATATAATGTTCAATTTGTTTTTCAATTACAGCCACTTTCTCTTGCTTGCAAAAACATGTTGTGATTTTTCTATTTTACAGCAACGATGCACTTTCACTCAAAGTAGTCAAAAATCGAAACTAGCTTTACTAATTGATTTAATAA